TTATAAAGGATGCGGAATGGTGTTGGAACACCGAAAATCAGGAGGCTGTTGACGGGATCATAGGCAGCTTTCTGCATGCACCGGTACTGGCGCTGCCAGACCCTAATCGTCCTTTCAGCGTCGTCTGTGATGCTTCGGACATTACCATCAGCTTTGCACTACAACAAGCAGACTCCGAGGGGCTCGGGTGATCGCGGTCGAATCTCGACAGCTCAAAGCTGCAGAGATGAACTACCCAGATCATGATTAGGAGATACTTGCAATGAAGTATGCACTCGTCAAGTTCAGGATCCACCTGCTCGGCTCCAAGTCGTTTGTGATCTATATAGATCTTGCGTCACAATGCACTGCGACTCAGTCGCCCCATGCAGCGGGGCTGCCGTAACTTAGCGCTTGAGGGAGCGTACTTTAGGTCACCGACCTTTCGTTCTTTACAAGAATAAAGTATGACTCCAAGAGTAATTATTGCCTTCCCAACGCTAATTGACTCTTCGGTTTAAATTCAAAACTGATTTTTTATTTTTTATTATCTTGATTTTTAAAGTTTAAATTTCCCTGATTATACCAAATATATATAGTAAAATCTAAATTCATGCATGACTACTGGCTACCTTGACCTATACCGTATTCTTGTTTGGTTGTGGTCACACCATGTACATCTCGTGGAACACATACCCCTGTTATCAGGGTTAGTGCCACCCCGCTACACCCTCCCCCATTAAGATTGAGAGCATTCACAATTCCAATCGATTATTGCCTCAACGAGGCTCGCGTGACCGCTAGACGCTGCAACTTATCGAAACGACTTCCGTGCTCAATTAGCCCTGTGTCAATGACACCAAAATCTCCAAGTCACGCTGGTTCTGACGGCGAGCACGGGCAGAGCCCAACTTCGTCCCCCGCACTCAGTGCAACGGTGCACAGTGCGTCCGCAGCGCCAAGGGAGTATACATCCTAGGCACAATGAGCACAAGCATCGCGCTCCGCGCACGCTATCAGTGACGAATGACCTCGTTGAGGATGTGGGGTGGGTCGACTACGAGTCTTACACCACTTTTCTCGCATGGGATGACGAGAAAGGCGAGCTGCACCAGCAGCGTGATACGAGCCCTGCTCGCGCCTTGCGGGCCCCATGT